ATAAGAGTTGGAACCAGGGGTGGGATGCTACCGGTTCGGCCTGGTTCTATAGAACCTGTAGCTGCGAAGAGCAACTGACACCAAACCGATTTGGTGTTTGGCCCACCCGCCTGCCCGGGCTCTAGGCTGTCCTTTATTCCCTTCTTTTCCATCCTCAGCTGCTTTGCACGGCACAGCTGAGGTTGAAAAAGCAGGAAACAAGAGGATTTTCAAATGCTGCTGTGTTATGATCGTCCGCAGTTTGGAGAATTGGCAAATCGCTCCACTGGCTGGGCCCGCCCCTCCTCGCCCACTCACTCCTTATCTGGCATGTGAGCCATTCATTTTGCCTGGTTTGGTGCTATTTTTCCTTTTTTACCCCCTGACCATCAGTTGTTGCCGGGAGATTTAGATTAGCTAGAAAGCAGGAAATCCTTGGATTTTTTGCTTTCTAGCTAATCTAAAAGCAGAGCCAAACCTTCCTTAGGACTGAATCTTTTCAGTGCAGACTCAGGTAGCCGATTGCAGATAGATAGATCTCTAAGTGAATCTGTGATTCTGTGAGCAACTCAATCTGTGTGCCTGCTTTGCCTGCTTTTGGGTAAAAGTTGCTCTTTTTTACTTAAAAAAATCAATATTTACATAAATATTTATAATATTTATGTACAAGCCATGCCCACCCAGTCACATGACCACCAAGCCACACCTACAAATTAGGCCACACCCACAGAACTGGCTGTTAAAACATTTGAATCCCACCCCTGGCTGGAACGTACTTCTGCTTTCAAACTGCCGCACTGCTCTTCCAGATTTCCCTCCCCCCCCCCCCCCGCTTTCTTTTATGGCAACTACTAAAACAGGCATAGGAATGTTGTTTGAGTTGACAAACCCCCTATGTCATTAGAGGCAAAAACGGGGCGCAAAAGCCCAGCAATGTAATCTTTGCTTTAAAAGTCTTATGGGAAATTGCAGCCCAATTGCCTTCCGCCTTGTGGCCATTGTGAATATGGCAGGTGGTGTAAAGAAATCGCCAGATATAATAAGAAAAAGAACTGTACGTATAGCATCGCTAATTATGAAAACTGCTGCATGTTATCCTTTCCTGATGATCCATCAAGCCCTAAACATACGTTTAGACCTAATATAACTGAGAGATTTAGGTTCAGGAGACGCTGGGCACTGCAAATGGAGCCGAGCTGGGCGTCCTGGAGTGAGGAGCCGTGCCGGAGGAGTAATACCTCTTTAAAAAAAAAAACCTTGGTCCAGCTGGCCCGGCTGGTAGCACCTCATAAGGGCCCCTTTCCAGGGTTACAGGAGAAGATGGTGAAAAGTTTTGAAGGCGGAAGAGGGCTTTATGCCCCAACGGCCGATAAAACGGTAGAACGATCTTCTAGGAGAAGGGAAACTCTGATTTCAAACCTCCACTGCCTTGTGGCTTTATCTATTCTTGGGAAAGGCTTCAGGAGTCAACCTCAGGGCAAAATCTGGAGCCGGAGTCCCAGAAGCAGTTCGTGAGTGTGTACAATCGCGTTCTGGTAACTCCTGCGACGCAGCTGGAACTCATCGTATCGGCTCTGCCATTCCAGTTAAGCTATTTCAGTGATGCGCAGAGGGGGGAATCTGCTGTTTGGATAACAGTTTATCCTCCGTATTAAATTACCCAGGCCTCATGCTCTGGATAGGACACGCCAGCTTTGCATACAACATTGAAACAACATGGGAAGTGGCAGGTACTGGTTTCATAGCACGATCCCATCGTCTCTTGAGACTGAAGGAGGCCAATGCAACCTGGAATTAAGGAGAAACTTCCTAACAGTGAGGACAATTAACCAGTGGAGCAACTTGCCACCAGAAGTTGTGGGTGCTCTGTTAAGGTATTGAGATTTAAGAACTGACCAGCTGTAAGGCTGATGCAATGAATGGTATTGCCAATATGGTCAAAGCCTCTGTGTGCTTGTGTTTTGCTCCTGGGTTGTCTCACAATAGTAGTCACGCTGCAAACGCTCCGACACGCTCCCTCACTGGAGGATTTTAAGAAGAGACTGGACAGACACTTGTCTAAATGGTAGACATGGTATAGGGCTGTGATGGCGAATCTATGGCATGTGTGTCAGAAGAGGCACACAGAGCCCTCTCAGTGGGCACGTGCCAGCTGCTCTTCTGGTTCCTGGTGTGCACATGAGCGCTGGACAGCTGGTCTTCATGGGCGCCAGAGCATCAGCCAAAAAAACAGACTGCCTTTCGGCCTTTTTCGGGCTGTTTTTTCTTTCTTTCCTTCTTTTTTGCTGTTTTTGGCCCCAAAACAGTCTGAAAACAGTCCTTAAAACAGCCTGAAAATGGTCTGAGAAATGGCCAAAAATGGCTTGAAAATGGCCAAAAATGGCTTGAAAATGGCCAAAAATGGCTTGAAAATGGCCAAAAATGGCTTGAAAATGATCTGGAAAATGACCCAAAAATGGTCTGAAAATGGCCCAAAAAACAGCCTGAAAAAGCCCTGGAAAATGGCCCAAAAATGACCTGAAAGTGGCCTGAAAACATCCTGAAATAGCCCCCAAAATGGCTAAAAACGCCCTGAAAAACAGCCCAAAATGGGCCCAAAACGTCCAAAAAAAAGAGCCATGCATGCATGCGCCGGCCAGCTTGTCTTCGGTTTTCCAGCGCTCCAGATGTGCTCATGCATGCGCAAGCACACGTGTTCTGGTTTGGGCACTCAGTGCCAAAAAGGTTCGCCATCACTGGTATAGGGTCACTTGCTCGGGAATGGCCTCTTCCACTTCGATTCTGATTAAGCTTGCTTGATGTTATGGCCATGTTTACAGCAAGAGTGAATCAGTCCAGCCTTTGACACCATCAGGCAGGCTAAAAATGAGAAGCTGACTGTTGATTGTGCTCTCCGTCTTGCTTTTGCGGCCAGGTGGAGCCTTCCACGCAGGTAATCAAACTTCCAGCTCTTTTATTGGAAAGAGAAAATCCCAGAATCTGGGCCAGGACCCTGCCAGGATCTTTGGCACAAAGGATATACCAAGTGTTATGCCCAGTTGGAATCTGATTCCGAGGGAGAGGTGGAACAGCTGACAGGGTGTGGGAGTGTGGCTCTGGTGGCTGTGGAGGAAACTGAGGAAGGGCACAGGCCGGCTGGGCATTCAGAAGAAGACCCAGGCCCACCCCCTCTTCATCCTAGGGAACACAGGGAGGAACGGATAAGGGAGCAATGTAGTTTACAGGGGAGGAAAGGGCCCTGATCCCCTTCATGGGCTGCAGCTGGGAAGACTGTTTAAAAGGGCAAACTGCACATGGCAAAGTTGCTTGGAAGCAAAGCGTGCATTATCTTTGTCGAGGCTTATCTGGGTTTTGGCGTCCTCCCAACTGTGTGTGCCTCGTTATCTTTTGAAAGTCTGCAAGTTATTATCCTGGTCTGTTGTGTTAATTACTTCAGCGTAATTTGTGTTGGTTTTTTTTTATTTCTACTTTATCTGTATTTGGGTTCGGCCTGCATTTCTTCCCTTTGTGGACTGGTTTTGGAAGAGTTTGATCTCCCACCGAGGATAATTGGACATTGGGGGCCAAGTTGGAGGCATTAAAGGGAATTTATCTACTTTGGTGACTTGGTTATTTTTGTGCCACGCCTCAGGTCATCACACTAAGCGATGGGAAATACAACATGTCTACATTTACAGAAGGTGCTGAATTACTACCCCCAAATTTCTGTCACTAAGCGAGATGGTGACTTGTCCTGTTTTACAACCTTTTTTGCCACCGTTGTGAAATGAATCACTGCAGTTGTTAAGTTAGAAACCCGGCTGTGAAGTGAATCTGGCTTCCTCATCGACTTTGCTTGTCAGAAGGTCACCAAAGGAGATCACGTGATCCCGGGGCACCGTAACTACATATCGGTTGCTAATCATCTAAATTTCATTGACGTGACCCATGGGGATAATGCAAAGCATGGAAAACGATAATAGATCCCTGCTTCCAGTACCTTTGTAACTTCAAACAGTCACTAAATGAATTGTTGTTAAGTTGAGGAGTATCTGTGTTACCTACCATATTTTTTGGAGTATAAGACGCTTCGAAGTATAAGACGCACCTAGCTTTTGGGGATGGAAACAAGAAAAAAAATCTGCCTCTGCCTCCCAGCAATTTGCCTCCTTGCAGCAAACCGCAAGCACCCTGTTTCGGCTTCAGCTTCAGCACAGCCTGATTAGCACAAGCAGCTGATCGTCGGTTGGATCAGCCTCCCGACACTCAGATGTTTCATGCTGCAGAGATTGCCATCACGTATTGCTGCCTCTGTGCGCCCCATTTTTGGCCTCCGCATTCTGTTTTCGGCTTCCGCCCACCCTGTTTTCAGCTTCTGAGCATCCCGTTTTCAGCCTGTTCTGGGCAGTGGGGATTGGAAGGGGCCGAAATGGAGCACGTGGAGGCCAAAAATGGGACACAGAGGCCGAAAATGGGGCCTGCAGAGGCAGCAATAGGCCATGGCAATCCCTGAAGCCTGAAAAAGCTGTTTGTCGGGAGTCCGATCCAATCACCAATCAACTGCTCATACTAAATTCGTCTGTGCTGAAGCTGATCCGGCTGTTTGCTGTTTGCTGCAAGAAGGCCAATTGTTGGGAGTCAAAGGACGAAGAGTGGGGGCCGGCGGGTGGGTGGGGCTTCGGCAACATTCGCTGTATAAGATGTACAGACTTTTCCATCCACTTTTGAGGGTGGACAAAGTGCATCTTATACTCCAAAAAATATGGTAATTTAGCCATTGAGGAGGTCTCTCTCGGGTCCCTCTCCAAATGTTGAGAATTCTCTCTCTTGATCGCAATCAACATTTTGGAAACTGAATTTATTTATGCATTTGCCAAACGGATACATGGGAACTGGCCTACTCTTGGTTGAATGATGGCCCAGGAGTCTTTCTCCGCTTAATGGAAGGAATGGGATAGTTGGCAGGTGCTTGATTTTCCAAGGACTGGAGAGGGGAAGGATTCTCTCCATCTATTTTTTTGGAAGGGGAGCTTTTCGGGTAATCTTTGCCAATTCCCAGCCATCGTTTTGTAGTGAGGGTTTCCTGCAGAGGCGCTGCTCCCACATGCAAATGCAGAGCGTTAAGATTCCACCATCACCATGCTGGATGTCACCCGGGCGCCGTACCAGCCCTTCCAGAACACCGTATCCTGACCGCCGTGTTCGAAACGGACGAAGCGCACGCCGGGACCGTAATCAGCAAAGGTGTGCGTGATCTTAAGCCAGGGAGAGAAAAGATAAAATGCGGATGAAGGAGCAGAGAATTCAAAACATCGCCCCTATTTTGATTGTCATCTCTTTTTTGTGTGTCCAAAATGTAGCCCCCCCCGTTTTCTCCACCCAGGGGATTTGGGGGAGAGCGGGGTCCCAGCCCCGTTTGGGAACAGGAGCTCCGCTGCTTCTTGGAAAGCGGGGGGGAGTTTTCTCTTGGGGACAAACCTCAGCCCACTCGCCCTCGTTGTCCTGGGGGACCGCAATGGTTTCGCTCTCGAATTCAGCTACCACATCTTCGTTAGCGGAGAGAAGCTTCACCTTCAGGTGGTAAAGGCAGCCGGCATCACAGCGAGCAGCATACCTGGTGGGGAGAGAGGAATTGGGAGGCAAGGGGTGACCGCAAGGGAAGGATGGGGTGGAAGGCTCAAGGACAGTGGTGGAATTCAAAAAAAATTACTACTGGTTCTGTGGGCGTGGCTTGGTGGGCATGGCAGGGGAAGGATACTGCAAAATCCCCCTTCGCTCCCCACCCCATTAACCTGCTTTCCAGCTCCGTTCTCCTGGGCAGGTTTCCCAAAGAAGACCCAGCCAATCAGCTGGCACTCAGGAGGCAGGGAATAGGTGGGGTTGGTGGGACCAGTCAGTGGGGGCATTTGCCGGTTCCCCAGACTACTCAAAATTTCCGCTACCGGTTCTCCAGAACTGGTTAGAACCGGCTGAAGGCCACCTCTGCTCGGGGACCCCTGGCCACTCACCAGTCCTTCACTACGATTTTGGGCTGGGTGGTGTCCATCAGCTCCTCCCAGTAGCCTTCAGCTTGCAGGTCAATTATTTGGGATTTGCTGCACCAGCTGAGGAGTGAAAGGGTCGCGTGAAAAGGGATCAAGCCTGCTGCTTCCAGGGCTGGCATCCTTTTTTTCTTTGCCATAAGGACTAGAAACTTGATTTTTTTTTATTTAAAAAAAAGGGTGGGGAACCAGACTGCTTTGGGTCCCCTTGCATTCCTGAGCTCTTGGGACATTGCAGCATGCCCACGCGCCAGTGGTGAGATGCTGCTGGTTCAGAACCGTTCAGGCGAACCAGTAGTTCCTACGATCAGCTGGGCCCGCCCTCTTCTGTCCTGTATTTCCTGCTTTGTAGCTCATCTCAATCGTGCGGCCCAGCTGATTCCCCCCCCACCCGCCCTCGCTGTTCTCCTTACCGTTGCTGACTTGGAAGGTAAGCAGCTGGGCTTCTAAATGCTCCATTTTCATCACGCGCTCACCAAACCGGTTGTTAAACTGGCAGCATCCCACCACTGCCACGCGCGCACACCCGCACTCCCCCCCCAGAGCTGCCCAGAAGACTGTGAAATGGACTTACTCAAAAGAGGACACAAAATAGGTGCGGACTTCTTCCCTGGGGAAATCCTTCCCGAAATCGCCTGGCAGCTCTTCCACTTTCCAGCCGTCGCCCCCATTTTGCACATCCTCCCAATGCTGGAGACCCTCTAAAAACCGAGCAGGAAAGCCTCAAAATGATGCTCACTCAGCCCCAAATATCCTCCCCTACCTCCAACAGAAGAGGGGGGGGATGGATTCTCCCGCTTGGAGGGAAAGGACCTTCCTGATGCCCTTTGAAGGTCTCCCCTCTGTGGCCCAGAGATCCCCAGAGAGCCTGGCTCAGGAAGAAGGGCCAAGCGGGAGGGGGCTGCCCAGATCTGGCTCAGGGGTTCCCCTCCCCCGTTTGCAAGGCTGGGGTACCTGTTTACCTTCTCCGTTTGGGTTCTTGATCAAATTCCGCTTCTTCTTATGGAGAAAGTAGACGGTTTGCCAACTTTCTGAGCCTTCTGCCTCCACATCCTTCCCCACAAAGCCCTCCTCCTGGCATTTCAGCAGCCAGAGGGCCCCTCCGTCCACCAGCGCCTTCCACTGGGAGCAAACCAGGCGGCACACCAGCACCAAGTCGAGGGCAGGCAGGCTGGCCAGGATCCGCACCAGGAGGGGCTCCGGAAGGGCATCCTTAAAAGGAGGAGGGCAAAGGGAGGGAGTTGGCCCACATCTCAGGGGCAGCCAAGGGACTTTGGGCCTCAGTTTAGCTAAATTGAGGTTGGCGCCTGGCATCAATGCTCATTTCAGCACACCGGAGCAACCAGACTTGGCCACTTTAAGACTTGTGGACTTCAACTCCCAGAATTCCTCAGCCAGCTATGACCGCTATGCTGGCTGAGGAATTCTGGGAGTTGAAGTCCACAAGTCTTAAAGTGGCCAAGCTTGGGGACCCATGAACCAGAGTATCATGATGTATGGAATAAACCAGGGGTCGACAACCCATGGCTCTGGAGCTGCATGTGGCTCTTTCATCCCTCTGCTGAGGCTCCCTATCACCAGTCAGTAAAATGAAAAAGGACGCCACGCTAGGAGGAGACTCTATGGTGGGGGAAGCGGACTTCCAGTCAGCTCCAGAATTGAATGGGGGCTTCCGGTTAGGACCTTTGTGGCTCTTTGAGTGTTTAAGGTTGCCGACCCCTGGAATAAATGTTATCAATGGCTTGGAATTGAAAAGAAGGAACCAGTACAAAAAATAACAAGGATCTGTAGAACTGAAATCTGAAGTTATCTAGGCAAACAATGGAACATAGAGGATAAAAATGGTTGCATAAAATTAGCAACGTATGAGGTTTTATGCTGTAAATATAAAAGTACATTCTGGATAAGAATAATAGTGTAACATTAGCAATGCATGACAAGTATAATGTTATTAGTTTTACTGGATTCCGGAAATTACCCCCAATTAAATCATGAGTCTTGAGCCAAACTTCCCAAACTTCCAAAGGATTTATTGGGAGTTAGCATGTCCGGCACTGCCTGGGTGTAGCCGACTCTGAGACACATCATTCATGGTCACCCTTGACCCTGGTTTTCCCCCCACCCCCCTGGGTGTATCACAATTCATATCCTCCAATGGGACACATCCATAGACCAGAGTCATCCATCATGTTCTCCAGTTAGAATTTTGTGCAGCAGAAACTTCAGTCACCTTTGAAAAACTATTTATGGAATGCACTTTCAATTTCCAAGCTGCCGCACTGCTCCCCCCTCCCTTTCTGTTGGCAACTCTAAAAAGACCCTAGAAATATTTTATGAGTTGACGTTTTAGTGTGTATGGCAGAGACAAAGCCAGGACGGTCAACCCTGCGTCCAATATTTTAATACGCAATCAATAAAATTGGGGAGGTGTGGGGGTGGAAATGCTCATTTCAGACCCTGCTGAGTTGGTTCTCAGCGGAGGGGCAGAATCTGCCTTGGGAGGCCACTTCCCAGGCCCATCTAAGCTGCCGAGCAGGGATTTTATTCGGAGGTGGGAGTCTGGGCTGCCAAGGGGATGACTCGGTTTTTCTTGCTCTCCAAACCCGCAGCAGGGACTCCATCGCCTCCCCTCTGGATCCGCCCTGGTCCTTCTTCTTCAACCCCACCGCCGGCTAATAAAAGTGCGCGCGCCAAGCTGTTTTCTCTGGTCTATCTTTGCAAAGACGGACTTGGGTTTCCCTTTTTTTTCCCTTCTGCAGTTTAACTCTGGCTTAAACGTGACTGTGTGCAAGTCGCACAAGCTGGAGCTCCTGCTTAAGCGCAGGGGGGGGGCTGGACTAGAAGACCTCCAAGGTGCCCTTTCGACTCTTATTATTCCGTTACTGTTTTCATGTTATTTTCTCCCGAGCCTGGGAAAAATCCCTTCCCAAATGCCCCTTTGCAGAGTTCCTGTCCTTGCAGGGGCAGCTATCCTCACACACACACACACACACACACACACACACACACACACACACACAC